ACGGGCTGTTCCGCACCCACAAGGCTCCCAGGGCTGCACCTATGTCTCCATGTGCCCAGGAACCTTTTAAACAGCCCAGCTCCCAGGGATGGTGACCAGCTTGCTAACGAGACAGCTGAAGTTCATCAGCCCAGCTGCTTCCATGGGCAAGGAGAGAGAAGGGTGTGAACGCAGCAGCAGAGCTCACGCTGTCCTGCAGAGCCCTTGGGGTTACACAGGCTGCCAGGGACCACAGTCCTCCTGCAACGGCCAGATCACACCAAAATCCCACCAGAAACCCAGCAAAGGCAGGGGGAAAAACAATCCACATTCAATGAATTCTTTATGTGTTATGAGTTCCTTCCAGGTTTAGCAAAATGTTTATAGGAAAATAAAAGTAAAAAGGTGTTTAAAATAAAGGTAAAAATGTGTTTAAAGTGGCAAGTTATTTTAGCACTTTTTTTGTAATTGAAACCTTGTGACTGCTTGCATTTGAAACGCCAGCATTTTACAGAAGTTCTGTGTTCCCCCAGTCTTCTGTGGCGGAATGCTCCGTCCACTTTCCTGTTCTGTCCCTCCTCATCTCCAGAGCTCAGGTGGCAAGGCAAAGGGGAAGGGTGAGGAGCAGGAAGGGAGGGATGTGATGGGACTGGTGGAGAACTGGGCGTCACTGGTGGACACCCACCATACCCCCCATGGACTGTGCTCCCGTCGGAGAAGCAGAAATGACAGAGTGACTGTCCAAACAGCATTTGCTCAGGAAAGAAAAAAAAAAAAAAAAGCAGCTGGAACTGGATGGGCTTTAAGGTCCCTCCCAACCCAAACCCTTCTGGGACACGATTCTATCGTATGATTCTAATAGGAAACAGATCCTTATCGGTGGAAGAATGCTACAGCACACAACATCTCCGTATGCACCCTGCTGCTTTTAGTGTGGGATCAAGCTGGAATACACCCTCCACCAAGCGAGGTACTGTAAGGGGTTCATGGGGACAGAGCCATCATGGTATCTTCTTTGGTGACGATGCTTTTGCCAGTATCTCTGCCGCCGCGTTGACCTCTCCTTCTGCATCCAGCAGCGCCTGCAAGTTTGCACTGCGGTCCTGGAAGCCCATGGCAACGAGCTGCTCCATTTGCCTCTTAAACCGGGGCTGTGACTCCTCCTCATCCATCTCCGTCTCACCTTCTGCTTCGTCCCCATCCGACACCAAAACCGCATCGTGCTCAGGCTCGCTGCTCTGCGGCGAGGCGTCCATGCTCTCCAGATCCAGCTCCACGGCTGAGTCCTCCAGACCCACCAAAAACTCCGGCGCCTCTGTTGAGAGGGTCTCCAGTCCCAGGTGGATCTGCAGCAGCGCCTGCTGTGCTCGGGGGTTTCTCAGCAAGGAGGAAATCTCCGCGTTCTCCATCTCCGGGGGCAGCTGCTGCGCCCATTGATCCGGAGGTGGGGAATAGCACCGAGCGCTATTCAGCAGCCTTTGCGCGGGGCTGTTGGGGGCTGCTAACGCGCTCCCCAGGTTGTGCATGAGTTCTGCATCTCCCGTGAATGAACCTCCTCCGAGCTGGGGAACACTGCGCCTGCTTTGGGACCCACGCTCAGTGAGGTAAAGCTGCCGCCTGCGCTGCTGCTGGCCAACCGGCTGTCCCAGTCATCGTCATCGCCGGCTCTGTTTGACTGCGGAGCCCAAGGGTTGGGCAAGGGTCTCCGGTTTTCGGTTCGGGCGGGTAGCCTGGCTCCGCTCAGGGGCTGGTCGCTGTCCAGGCGAGCAAAGGGGTCGTTGCCCAGCTGCGCCTGCACGGCGTCCCAGATGTGCTCCTCGATCTCCCTGTAGTGCTGCTCCAGAGCTCTGTGCCCACCGGGGATGCTCTCCAGGTTGTTCATGGCCACGTCGTTGTTCCTGATCTTCTCTTGCAGGATGGCAGGACTGCTTGAGGCCTGTAACATCTCCCTGATCCTGTCTGGGTTGGTGAGAAAGTAATCGATCTCGGGGTTTTCTTCAGCCAGCTGCTGCATCCGAGGGTTGGACATGATGAGATCCCGGATGACGTCGGCGTTGTCAAAGATGCTCTGCATAAAGTTGCTCGGCACCATCTCGCTTAGCAAGCTGTGCATGGACGCATCTCCTTCTTCTTCTTCTTCTTCTCCTTGAATTCTACCCATCAAGTCCAACATGTCTGTTGAGTCCAGGCCCAGGAGATGTGTGCCCGTCACCCCGAGGAGGAACCCCAGCAGAAACGCGTTGTTGTTGATGGTGTTCAGATCCAGGCCCGCGCTGAGGACCCAAGACATGACATCCTCCATGGTCTGAGCCACTATGGCCTGGCTGGAGGTCAACAGCTCCTGCAAGTCATGCTGGACCAAGCATGGGTTTTGCAGATCAGCTCCAAGCCCCAAGCAGAATAAGCTGGAGTTACTGGGTCTGGGAGGTTGCACCGGGGTGGTCGCTCTTCCTTCATCTGCCACACTGTCTGGTGGTCTCTTTTGGGACCGGATGACAACGTGGATGCTGACCCCACTGTGAACTCCATGCTGGCCCAAAGTGTCTTGGTCTTTGAGGATTTTGCCAGCAAATACCAGGACCAGCAGGTCAGGGGCTGTTTTGAAACGCTTGGCGACTTCCTCCTTAAACTCCTGGATGGTGCTGCCCTGAGCAACCTCAAACTGCTCCTTCTGCTTGAGGGTCTTCACCATCACTTTGATGATATTTGAGGAATCCATGGTGACATCAGGTTGACAAGTCTCCGCTGCCCCTTTGCTTTTGGACATGGTGGCTCCAACACCAGGACGGCACTGGGGGCTGCTGAGAAGCAGAGGGGCTGGCAGAAGCTGGGAAGCACCAGGGGGCAACGGCTGCCTGCTAAAACGGGGCAGGGGGGGCTGCTGCCCCTCCTAGGGTGACAGCTGCCAGGAGGGAGCAGTGACACAGGGACAAGGGCCGCCGCTCTCCGCAGTGCACATACCAGCCAGATGTTGCACAGCTGCTCACCACTTGAGCGGTTCCCCCATGTCCCACTGCGGCCCCCCGTGTGCACAGAATTGCCACGGAGCTGCCCCTGTGCTATGACATCACCACTGACGTCAGAGTGAGCAGCAACAGCCTGGAGAGGGGACATGTCCCCTGGAGCTGCGCTCAGGCTTCCTTGTCGCCATGGTCCCCAGACAACCTAGTCCCTGGGACACCAGGAGGACCATGACATGGGAAAATCCGGGCTCAGGGGACTCCAGGACCATTTTGATTTGAGAAAACCACAGGACCTGGCTGCTGGCACCCTCACCTTTCCAACCAAGAACCTCCAGCTGGGAGCTTGTCTTGGTTTTATCCCCGAGGCTTCCCCAGTGCAGATGTTTCCCGGGTTACGCAGGATGTGCAATCTCAATGCGCTTCGCACCATCTACCTTTAATTCCATCTTCACAAAGCAAAGGCACCCCGGTGCCACCAGCAGAACGGATCTCCCCTTCGCCCAGCTGAGGAAACCGATGTTTGCTTCAACACAAAGCCAAAAGGAGGTGGGATTGTCTCAGCATCCCACGTCTTGTTTCTTGTTTGTGTGATGCTTGTAGGTGGTCAAGAAACGTGTCGATGCAGTGCTTGGGGCCATGGGTTAGTGGGAAGAAATTTTTTCTAATAAAGTGCCAGCAGCATCTAGAAGAGCCCTTCCAAAGAGAACGGGCAGGGGCATCTCAGAAATACCGTAAATTATCCCATCGCAAGCATGCAATATGTAGAGCCGGAGGCATGCAGACTGCTTCTCAGTCCTCCACCACTCTGGAAGCCAAACATCTCCCTGAGAAAACACCTTTGTACCAAAAAGCGTCCACTCTCCACATGGGCATAGATCTATAAGGGTAGAGTCGCTGCTGGAAAATCTCCTGTTGCTCTCAGGAGCTCGTCACAGCAGTTATTTATTCTCATTATTCAAAATAAGGCCTGTATTGCTAATCAGAACATGTCTGGCTTCATTTTCCGTTCATTATAACTCATCCTTCTCCAGGGCGTTACAATGATCCTCAGCACCAGATTTTCCCCTGAGACTCCCACCCTGCGACAAAGGTGCCTCCGCAGCTCTTTAAAAATTCATGTTTTGCACCCTTGACATAGATGGAGTCCCTTCTCCAGCACTTGAACAACACGGCTGCTCTGTCTCCCTCCTCTCCAGACGGTTTCGTTCTCTTTCAAAGGCTGACCCCGGAGCAGAAGGCAGGATCGCAGCACCGCTCTCACCGGGAGCCAGCCCACCCCCTCCCTGCACTGGCACCAGCCCCAAACAGCTCAGACAGGCTTATCCTCCACTGAGCCCAGCAACGGGTATTTTTAAGAGATTTTTTTTTTTTACTCTGCAGTATCTCTGGTCAGATGTGGTTTATTCCCTGCGCTCGTGACAGAGCATCCCCCGGGGTCCC